TGTGGCGCCCAGAATTGCACGCAGTACTCCAACTGCGGTCTGACCAGTGCCCGATAGAGGGGAAGTATCACCTCCTTGGACCTATTCGTCATGCATCTGCTGATGTACGATAAAGTGCCATTGGCTTTTTTGATGGCTTCGTCACACTGCCGACTCATGTTCATCTTGGAGTTCACTAGGACTCCCAGATCCCTTTCCACTTCCATGCTACCCAGCAGGTCATTCCCTAGGCTGTAGGTGTGCTGGACATTTTTCCTCCCTAGGTGCAGCACTTTGCATTTCTCCTTGTTGAACTGCATTCTGTTGTTTTCTGCCCACTTGTCCAACGTGTCCAGGTCTGCTTGCAGCTGTTCCCTGCCCTCCGGCGTGTCCACTTCTCCCCATAGCTTTGTGTCATCTGCAGACTTGGACAGAGTACATTTCACTCCCTCATCCAAGTCACTGATGAAGACATTAAAGAGTATCGGTCCAAGGACCGAGCCCTGCAGGACCCCACTGCCCACACCCTTCCAGGTCGAAACTGACCCATCCACCACGACTCTCTGGGTGCGACCCTCCAGCCAATTCGCCACCCACCGGACTGTGTAGTCATCCAAGTCACAGCCTCTTAACTTGTTCACCAGTATGGGGTGGGATACCGTATCGAAGGCCTTCCTGAAGTCTAAGTATACGACATCCACCCCTCCTCCTGTGTCCAGGCATTTCGTAACCTGGTCATAAAAAGAGACTAGATTAGCCAGGCACGATCTGCCTGCTACGAACCCTTCTCATTTTATGAGATTTCTCATTCATAACATGCCACCCAAGATTTAGTCATACATTAAAGCAAAAGTTTTATAGATCTCAGGAAGTGAACACTACATGTATTTTCTTCTCCCATGGCAGATCTCACTTTTGGAGAATTTCTTCTTTTACATTTTACACAGTGAAATAATCCCATCAGCCAATGGTAAGTACAGAGGTTAAGATTTTCACCTGTGACCCATGGACACCCAGGGTTCTGCTAGCTATGTCTAAGGGATCCACAAAAGATGACTATGATCAATTAAAAGTATGTGAATACCCATACTTACAATTCAAAGGGGTCCGTATCTCCATTTAAAATTTTCTAGGGGTCTGCAAATGAAAAAGGTTGAAAACCACTGCTCTTATTGTCTTTGACATGTTAACTACAAACGTGTTGCCATAACCTACGTAGCTGAGGAAACTGATAATGTGATGTGGTGCTTTTCACTCTTAGGTCATCATTCACATTAGCTCAAGTGGAAATCAACAATCCGCTGGTAACCTAAGAGAAACAAGCTAGGGTATCAGCCCCGATTCACAGGGGACGAGTAAATGCATCATACACCCACCATTTCAACTGACACTGTTTTGTAGCTTCAGCACAGAAAACAAAGATGGAAAGGGCATGGAAAATGAATTACTTTCTCAACCTTAGATGTTCCTCACTTGCCCCTTGAATTATCCTGGAGAAGGAACATGGAGAAATATATCATTGCTCCATATGTTAACATGATAAATCACTAAAAGTGAAATTTACCTCTGTTTAAAGGACCAACACAAGCCTTTATGCACCAGTTAAGTCCCACTTTAGTCCTCAAAATAGGAACGCATGGATCTTGTGCCAGTCTTCTGCACAGGAAGGAATTTCTCCCCTCTGAAATTATGCAAAAAGGAAGAGATGTTAGTAATAGTTGGAGTACAAGCTCTGTATTTGCAAATCATCATCTAACTCATGAGGTCACTTTGCCCCAATCTCTTCAGACCCAATGATGTGATATTCTGAGCACTTCTTGCAAGGTGTTGGGTGTCCAGGCAGTGGGAGCTGAGGGCACACTGCACGGAATACAGACCTTGCAAGATGTCTGTTTGAACTCTCTCTGCCTCACTCTTCCCATTTGTAAGTAAGGATCATACTTGACCTCTTTCTGAGGATTAACTATAAAACACCTTCAGATCCTTGGGTATAGAAGCTATTGAAATAGGAAGGTGGTGGTGGTGTGTGTGTGTGTATATATATATATATATATATATATTCACATTTTGTCTGTCTTCTCTTAAGCTAAACTAACAAAAGGATTCCCTCTCCCAAACTTGGCCAATATTTCCTTGAAGAAACCTCTTATTAAAGTTGAGCAGGTAAGAATCTTGATTGCTTATGAAATGTTTATTCCTCTTCTTTCCTGACAGGACATGCTTTTTCTATGTATATATGACATTTTGCAGGCAGGATGCTGGTTGCATTTAGCTTTAACTAGTTAAGCAATTAACTGTGCTTGGGTTAAAGATGAAAAATTTCATACTGGCAGTTTCCCTTTAGAAATAAATATCTCTTTTTTGAGAAAAAGGTAAAACTGGACTAACTGTGCTGCCACCCCCTGGCCAAATGCGGTCAGAGAACCAAATTCAAAGCTGGAGGAGGTGCAACTTCCTGGAAGTCAAAAGTTGCACCTGCTTTTTTTTACCTTTTCTAAATTTGCATACCCAGGCTCTGAGTTCAGCCAGGCTGCACAAATATAAATGAGAACAGAATTCAACCGTCATGCGGCAGGAACAACTAGTGGTTTATATGTATATATTAGAATTAGAGTAATAATTTAATAATAATTCAGATTAAAATGCAGGACATTTTTGAAAATTCATGAGTTGCTGATGTTACTTACCCCAGCTCATCATTGGTTTCCCAAAATACCCTGTGAATTGGTGGTTACTGCTGCTGTGGTAAACAAATGGGAAAATACAGGACAATATTCTACCACTGTCCCTTGCTGCTGCCCATATTGTTTCGCCACAAGAAGACTTCAGCCCTTAATTTGGCTACATGACTGCTACATAATTGGAAGTCATAATAAATTAATTTTAAAAGAAATGAACCAGCCAATCTTATTACACCAGTGACTCACATTTTACGCTTTCCAGCCACACTGCCCAGATATAGGGATGTGGCAGAATGCATGACACAACTCAGGAATGGGAATACAACATGGTTATATGCTACCTTTGCATTTCACATATGGGCTATCTTTGTGGCAGACCAGTACCATGGTATAAGCTGGGGCCACCTGAAAGCTGTCCTAAATTGCACTGGTGCCAACAGCTCTCAAAGGACCAAAATGGGAGCTAGTAAGAGGCTATTAACATTCAGGAAAATCTTATTTACACCTCCTCTCTATCCACATTTCCTACACCAATAGCCAGGAGTGGGAGGTGGTATAGCAAAATTCACTGCACCATTTCTATGCCAACAGAAGTTTCCTCTAGCCTAGGGTGATTCTACCAGGACTAACCACAAACTTTAGGTATAGTGTCTGCTGGCAGTATGGTGAAAAGCAGCAAACTCCCATGGAAATTCTAGGTCTGTGTGCGTAAGTTTTGGTCCTTTTAAAGTTTCTTGTATTTTTTTAAGTCTATCTTCTCTTCCGTAAAGACCCTTACCCCATAACACTTAGTACAGAGTTAAAACAGAAAAAGTAAAGTTTCAGTCATCTGTAATTTAAGGCACTTCACTTTCTTGAATGTTCTTGTGTCCACAGGGCTATCTGTGGATTTCCACAGATGTAAACTATGAACAGTAAGGAAGGAGAGACCATTTGGATGGGTCAGGAGCCTCACAACTGATATAACTCTGAAGCCTGACCACGGCCCCTTTATACTGAAATTGCTTTTACTCTGATTTGAGAGAGAAGCCCAGAGGAAATATGGAAATGAGTGCTGCAATATTCAGAACATGTAATGATTGTAACAAGCAGGGAACCATGGAAAAGGATATTGTGGCATCTGTGTCTATGGTTAAGTGGGGGAAGCACTTTTATCCTGGACTTTGTACCTGCTGAAAAAATAACTGTTTTAAAAGGTTAAAATCTCTCTTTAATTGAAGTCTTATTATGTATTTTATGGAAGCTTCAGTATTCTTTACAGAGAGAAAAATGTATGCCAACGAGTTACAAATGCAGCTACTGAGCCACGTTTAATGGTCTGTTCCCTGTATAAACTTATTCTACTTTCAAATGAATGCATCGGTTATATTTAGGGATCTGTTCATTGTGCAGTTTTGCTATATTCATGGAAATTTTGAAAAAGGCGGTTTCTGCAATCACTGGCATTCCCCACAATTTTGTGTGGAATTGCTGGGGGGTGGGAAAAACAAGCTAAAAATAAAATGCTGGTTCCCCAGTGGGAGCCAGAGGCCACTGTGGCCCAGCCTCAACACACCAGGGAGGGGAGCTCCCAGCATGAAAGGGACCAGCCACGATAGTAGCCACCTCCTCCATTGATTTGGATAAGAGGGCTGTCTTTTATGCAGCCCTGCCAGTCTCCACCAATCAGGGGTGAGGCTGCTTGGGCCCCTCAGCCAATCAGTGGAGGTGAGGGACTTAACCCCCAAAAGACCGTGAAAATGGCACCAGATGTTGTGAGTAGTTTGCAATTTATATATATAAATTTACTTCACCTCTGTGTGCTTTAAGTAGGTCCCTAGTTATATTTAATATGAAATGGGAGCTATCCAAAAGTACTTCAAAGCCTCCTGACTCCAATGGGGATTAAAGTCTTCAGGGTTCAAATTAAATCTTTTCTCTTGAAAAACTCTTTCACAATCTCAATTTCAAGATATTTTCAAGCAGAATGTGTCTTCTTATTAGTGCTGGATCTACTTATTCTAGATGATACCAGATGGTACTCCCTCATACTGTTTTAAATTGTTCCTCTCTGCCCCTGTTGCTGAGACGCTTCAAATGTTTGTAGACTGTTATCTTGTCTCCTGTTAGCCATTGTTTACCCATCTTAGAGATGTTTAAGGATTTCAATATTTCCTCATGTAAAATATATTAATCCCTCTTGGTCTAACTTAGTACCATTTTGGAAATTCATTAGTATTTTCCCCATGAACTAGTTTAGTTCTTTAAAGAAGATGGGGTGGAAGCTAAAAACGCATTTCAGTAGACCAGAATGTTTTCAGATGTTATTGTCTTCCTCTTAGTTTGCTGCACTGCCGTTTATCATTGCCCTTTCTTTTCTTTCTTCTTCAGCCTTTTCAGAAGATAGTCTTATTAAAACATAAATCTGAGTCAAGACAGCCAGGGCTATGCCTGACCCAGTGGGTTGAAAAGCTCTAGGGCCACCTTAAAGTGGCCAGGCAGTCTGAGATGGCATCAGAGCTGGGTTCTGCTAGTTTTCAATCCATGATACTATTTCTGTCCAAGCCAATTTGAATAGATTTTGAGGCTATGTCTTCACTGCAGAAAATACATGTTTTTACACTGAAGTCCTAATGGAAGCAAAGTGCAGCTATTACTTTGACATAGTCAGCTTCTTAGGAAAAAGTTCTTCACAGTCAGGGTGGCCAGACTGTGAAATAAGCTCCCTCCAGAGGAGGTGCAGTCAACTACGCTGGAGATTTTCAAAGGGAGACTGGACGGTCACCTTGCTGGGGTCACTTGACCCCAATTGTCTTTCCTGCTTGGTGCAGGGGGCTGGACCCGATGATCTTCCAAGGTCCTTCCAGTCTTACAATCTATGAAACTCTATATCCTCCATTTGGGATTGCTCCTGCTACACTGAGGTAAAAAACATGGTGCCCAGGATATTTACAGCAAGTGGTAAATTTAAGTTGGCTATCTTCATGTAAAAATGCACTACTACTGCTTCTTTTTTCCCCCAGAGGAAGAGCAAGAGAATGTGCTGTTAGAAACTGGTGCTTTCTTCCCAGTTCTGTACACGACCTGAGGAAGATAACAGTCCCAAATCTCCCCAGTCTCACTAGGGCCATTTACATTTCTAGTGTAATTCTTTTTACTTTGAATGCCTTAAAATCATAGGGTGGCATAGTCCAACTTGTCAGCCCTGTAACTTTGCCATATGTCTCCAACTTATAACTTATCCTGGGACAATTTTAATTTTTATATCAACTCTTCCAAAGTTTAAGATGTTTTAAAAAGTTACAGAGTGAAAGGGGAAAAAAGGTGTGGGGAGGAGGGATTACAGTGGGAACTATTAGTTGTATTGCTTCTGATGACAAAAATGGAACATGAAAGGGGAAATGAAAATCTGAAATTTAAAAATTGCTTTGGAAAACATACATGAACATTTTCAGATAAGTTCATTTTGGAATCTCCTACTTAAAAAATCCAAAAACATCACTGAAAGTATTTTCCAGCCAGAATTACTGCATGTAGCAAAATGTCATTTTTTCAGCGGGATTTTGTTTTTCAGTCTGGTCTGGGTACTCTGAGGAGCAGCTTATATTTTAGCCCCACTGGCCATTTATTTTCAGAGGACTTCATGGATTGCAGCACAGCGAAACTCATGCGCAATGTGCTTTTGTTGCAAAAAAAGTCAACAGTATATACTGGGTTGTATTCAGCACTGGTAAGACCTCACCTGCAGTACCAAGCCACACACTTCAAGAAGGATGTGGGCAGTTTGGAAAGAATCCAGCAAAGAGCAGCAGAAATTATTTGGGACCTGGGAAACAAGACTTATGAGGAAAGACTTTAAGAAGTAGGGCAGGGATTTCAAACTGATCCAGCTCCATGGGTCAGATGAGTGGCACAGGGCTGATCCGTGGGCCACACTGGACCCACAGACCAGCCCTTCATTCCGGATCTGGAGCTGCTGCTGCCACAGGGCTGTGCAGTGCAGCCCCGGAGAGGCTGCCCCGTGCAGCATGGCTCTGGGGGCTGTGTTGCTCATGGAAGCTGTTCCGCCACTCTGGGACATGAGCTGGAATGGGTAACCTGTGCAGCACACGGGGCCATTCAGCACACCCTGTGTATCTTTGAGATCTCTGAACTAGGGCTAGGAAGAAGAGAAGACTGATGGGGGGATATGATAAGTCTTCAAATATGTGAACGGCAATTACAGAGGGGATGGAGATGGACTTTTCTCTGGCCACACAGGACAGGATGGGAGCAATGGCCTCAAGCTGCAACAGGGGAAATCCAGGTTGGAGATTAGAAGGAACTGCCTGAGTCTGAGGGTGGTCAGGCATTGGAACAGGCACCTAGAGACACTGTGGAATCTGCCTCTCTGAAAGTTTTCAAGATAAGGTTGGACAGATGCTTGGCTGGGAGGATTTAAGACAGGGCCAGGCAAAGTCCGGCCCATGGGCCAGATGAGGCCCATAGCGGACTCCATTTCCCAACAGCCCCTGCCCATGTTGCTGCAGCCAGTTTCCATGGAAATGCCAGTAGCTGCAGCGCCATGACAATGCGGGATTTCCATGCGAGGCAGGTGGGAAGTGGATCACAGCTCTGCCCCGGCTCCAGACCACACTGTCATCACTGGAAGATCCCAGCACCAGAGCAGCTCCCCACCCAGCCATGTGCCCTGCCAGCACTGCTGGGGCCAGTCTCAAAAACCCTGGCCTCAAGCTGTCACCATGCCATGCTGCTGGTCTTCGTGGAAACTGGCTGCAGCAACACAGGCAGGGGCTGCTGGGAAATAGGGTCTGGCCACCAGCTGGATCCACCATTTTGCCCACCCCTGGCTTAAGGGCAGGATAGATGTGCACCTTTACGGACCAAAGCCAGAGGTTCCTTGTGGAGGGGTATTGCTCTTCTGCTCAGGGTCAGGCTGATCATCACTTTTGGAGTCAGGAAGGAATTTTGCCCTGTGATCAGATTGGTACGGACAGGGGTTGTGTGGCCCTCTACCCAGGATGTCTTGAGCATCTATTGACGTTTTATAGAAGCAGGACGTTGGCCACCATGGTTCCCCTGCTTCACCTGCAGTAAGTGAGGGTGTCTGGCCTGTGTCAACTGACAGTCTAATGCAGAGTTTAGATTAGGGATTGGATAGGATGGTTTGGAGAGGGATGCTCCTGCCTCAGGCAGGCGGTTGGACTAGATGCGACATTGGAAGGTCTCTGTAGCCCTGCTTCTCTAGGACTCTATGAAGCCAAGTTTCCTTCATCACATGGCCAGGATGGTCCAGGCAGGGATATGAACGTGTGCCCCCTGCAGCTGGGCGGGCATGGCGGCGGTGGGAGCGCGGTGGCGGTAAGCAGGGGAGCTCCCGCAGACGTCACCAGCACTGTTGGTGGCAGGGGGGAGGGCGAGCATCGACCAGGGGTCAGCGACCACCCACAGATGCCACCGCAAGCATTGGCAGCAGCCAGCGGGGATCATGGACCACCCACAAATGCCACTGACAGTGTTAGCAGCAGGGTGGCGAGCAGCGACTGCCCACAAGCTGTCGGTGGCACCTTTTTGCATGCTCAGGAGGTGCATGTGCACCCACATGCACCCCTACACATCACCCATGGGCAGGGAGGATCTTACCTTGAGCAGAGGCCTAGCCTAGATGACCCTGTGCAGCCCCTTCCAGCCCTCCTCTCCTCGGATACTAATGCAGCCCCCTAAGCTCCATTCTGTGGGGCTCCCTGCCTTTTAGCACTGGGGTGTGGTGCTCATCGGTACTGTTGTGTCTGCCATTAACACATGATGTCAGGCCGAGCCAGGTGCACTGCCCCCTGCCCCACCGGCTGAGAAGGCTGCCAGCGCTGTGCACTTACTGCAGAGACAAGGCAGGGTCTAGGGGGCACCACAGGGGTCCCTTCCGGCTGGTCAGCATTCCCAGATCTTAAATATGAAATTGCATTGGAAGCTCAAAATTACTGTATTTGCTGAAAAAGTATCGTAGGCTGAAAAATATGCAAATAAGCATGCAAATAAGTCGTCGTCTTTATTTTATATTCCTCCCTGTAAGTCGCCAGCGAGTGAATGAGTGAGAACTGGGTCGTCAAAGCTGAAACACTTCTTTATTCGGAGGCAAGCCGTCATAAGAAAGTGCTGACAACAAACCCAACAATTAGTTGAGGACTCCCTGAGTTGTTGAGTTTTACATGTGCTGTGTCAATTTGCATATTAGTTGAGTTTTGCGTATGCTGTATCAATTAGCTGCCTCAAAATTATCGTGCCCTTTGAACACTGTTGCTATTACTGACCGTACAAGGCTTGCAGTGGCACAAATACAGT